TTCCTTTTGTCCTCCTTCCTTCTTTCCTGTTTTTGTCCCACTCACATGTTTTGATTGCTATAGCTTTAACCATTTACTTTGATTATAATTCAAAATCAGGAATGTCTTTGGCTTTATTCTTTCTTTTCAAGATATTTTTTTTTTTCAGTGTTAGTATTTCATTGAGGATTTCTGCATCTTTGGTTATTTGGGCATCTCTTCTGATCCTATATGAGGTTTAGAATAGTTTTTTTTTTCTTATTTTTATGGAAAATTTTTGATAGAAGTTGCATTGAATCTGCAGATCATTTCAGGTATTGTGACTATTTTTTAAAAATTTAAAGGGTGCATATGCTTGCTGGGGGACAGAGAGAGAGAGAGAGAGAGAGAGAGAGAGAGAGAAAGAAAGGAAGAAAGCATCCTTCATAGGGGAAGGCCACAGCATAATCCTTTCTCTTCATCTCTCCTCAAGGATTTTGGGCATGTGTACGAATGTGCCAACATTCCTTCTTTCCTTCCTTCCTTCCTTTTGTTTGCTAGAGAGCGTGTATGCTCACCAAAGAGAAACAGAGACACACAGAGAGAAGGAAAGTGGGAAAGCACCTCCCTGCCCCCATTGAGAAACAGTCATGCTTCAATCCTTTCTTTTCCAACCCTGCCTCCTCGCAGGATCTTGGGCATGAAGACACATGCACCTAGCATGGTTTTCAAGCCACCAGGTCTGAGACTTGAACTGTGCAGCTGGCTACATGGGCTCCATTTCCTTAACCACCAGGGCTTGGGCTAGCCTTCCTTAACAATTTTCAAGAATACAATAAGTTGTTCTTAAACTACGAAAACTATGATGTACAATGGATCTCTTGAACTTATTCCTCCTAAATGAAATTTTATATCCTTTCACCAACATCTCCCCATCCACTCTACACTGCCAGCCTCTTATAGCCATGATTTTATTTTCTATTTCTATGAGTTCATCCTTTTCTGATCCAATTTATAAGTGAGATCATGTAATATTTTCCTCTATGCCTGGCTTATTTCACTTTACGTAATACCTTTTAGGTTCGTTATAATCTACATTGTTGTAAAATGATGGTATGCCTTTTTTAAAGACTGAGTAATATTCCTCTGGATGTGTGTGTGTGTGTGTGTGTGTGTGTGTGTGTGACATTTTCTTCTTGTATTCATTTGTCAGTGGACACTTAGGTCATTTCCATATCTTGGCTATTGTGAATAAACTTACAATAAATACAGAAGTGCAGATATCTCGTCAACATTTCATTTTCTTTGGTCATATACCTGGAAGGGGATTGCCTGGATTGTATGGTGAGTCTATCCTTAATATTTTCAAGGAATCTTCAGGTCTTTATATTTGAGTCTAATTCATTTCAAGTTCACTTTGGTATCTGGTATAAGATAAGGGTCTAATTTCATTCTTTTGCATACTGATACAAAGTTTTCTCAACACCATTTATTGAAGAGCTTATCCTTTCTCCCATTCTATATTGTTGACACCTTTGTCAAAGATTAGTTGGCTGTATTCACGTGTGTTTATTTCCAGGCTCTCTATTCTATCCCATTGGTTTGTGCCTCTGTTTTTGTCCCACTCACATGTTTTGATTTCTATAGCTTTAACCATTTACTTTGATTATAATTCGAAATCAGGAATGTCTTTGGCTTTATTCTCTCTTTTCAAGATTTTCTTTCTCAGTGTTAATATTTCATTGAGGATTTCTGCATCTTTGGTTATTTGAGGGTCTTTTGTGCTCTTCTATGATGTTTAGAATAGTTTTTTTTTTCTTATTTTTATTGAAAATACCATTAAAATTTTGATAGAAGTTGCATTAAATCTGCAGATCATTTCAGGTATTGTGACTATTTAAAAAATTTAAAGGATGCTTATGCTTGCTGGGGGGACAGAGAGTAACAGAGAGACAGGAAGCGGTGAGAAATCACCACTCATAGGGGAAGGCCACAGCATAATCCTTTCTCTTCATCTCTCCTCAAGGATTTTAGGCATGCGTACGAATGTGCCAATATGTTTTTCAAATTGCTGGGTCTGTGATTTGAACTGTGTAACTGGTCACATGGGATCCAGCTGCCTTAACCACCATGCCACTGGCTGGCTGAAATGGTATGGCAATTTTAAACAATGTTAATTCTTCAAATCTCTAAATGCAGGATACTTTTACATTTCTTTATATGTCTTCAAATTTTTTCACCCATGTCATGTATTTAGATTTTTACCTCCCTGGTTAAATTTATTCCTAATATTTTAATCTTTTTTCATGGTCATTTAAATGGAGATTGTTTCTCGATTCCTTTTCTGTCTGGCTTATTGCTAATGTATTGGAATAACTCTGAAGTCTGTGTGTTGACTTTGTATCCTGAAACTAATGAATTCATTTATTAGTTTTAGCAGTTTTTTTGGGTGTTTTTTTCTATGTAAAAGATCATGTCATCTGTAAACAGAAACAACTTAACTTCTTTTTTTAAAATTCAGATTCCTTTCATTTCTTTTTGTTTTATTTCTTTCCAGTTGCTTTGACTAGGACTTCCAGTTCTCTGTTGAATAGAAGTGGCAAGAGCGGGCACCCTTGTATTATTCCTAAGCTTAGAGGAAGTGCTTTTAGCTTTTTCACAGTTTAGGCATTAGCTGTGGGCTTTTTATTTATGTTCTTTCTCACGTCAAGATACATGTTCTCTAAATTTGTTGAGAATTTTTATCATAAAGGGATGTTGAATTTTGATGAATGATCTTTTGTATCTATTGACTATTTAGCTGATCATATGCTTTTTGTTCTTTATTTTGTTAATATAGTGTATTTCGTTGAATGATTTGCATATTTTGAACCATTCTTGCATCCCATGATAAATAATCCTTTTAATGTGCTGTTGAATTCTGTTTCTTAGTATTTCATTGAGGATTTTTTGCTTATTAGGGATAACAGTCTGTAATTTTCTTTCCTCATTCTTTCTTTGTTGTCTGTTTTATTTTTTTTGTGGGAGAATAGTGCAGACTTTGTAAAATGAGTTCGGAAGTTTTTTATTCTCCTCATTTTTTGGAAGAGAGTCTGTGAAGAATTGAGGTTAGTTCTCTGAATGTTCCATAGAGTTCACCCATAATTGGTCTTGTGATTTTGGAGGTGTTTGATTACTGATTCAATCTCCTTACTAGTTATAGGAAATTTTAGATATTTTTACTTCTAAATGAGTCAGTTTTGCAGATTGTATGTTTATAGAAATGTACTTATTTACCCTAGGTTATTCAATTTGTTGGCATATAATTATTCGTAGTGGCTTTTGATCCTTTCTAGTTCAGTGGCATCTGTTTTAATATCTTTTATTTATAATTTTATGTGCTGGATTTCTCTGTTTTTCTTGCATAGTCTAGGTAAATGTCAATTTTATCTTTTTTGTGGATTTTAGTGTTTATTAGATTTTTTTAAAAAAATCACTTATTTTACATTGATTCACTGAACATCATCACAGCATACAAAATGCAGTTCCCCATCCAGAATACACTGTATAGTGGCTTAGTCAAACATGTTATCATCAACAAATAATTTTCCATTATATATATATACACACACACACACATATACATATATATATATATATTCTGTGCACCCCCTCCCCCATTTCTCATTGTCTGGTACTTCCCACCCTCCTCCCACACTTCGTCAGATATCTGCAGTTGCTTTCCATTCCTTTTTCTTCTCCCCACAGTTTACTGGTTAACAAAATATCTTAATTGATCTAACTACTTTCAATAGCAAGTTCAGCTGATATATACATATCTGAATAAATATTGGACTTTAGGCATGAAATTGTGGGTAGAATGAATATACTATAAAATAGCAACTTGCTGAGGCTATATAGCTTACTGGGGTCACTAAATAGGTATTTTTAAATTTTTTAAATGTCAATAAAGGCAATTTTAGCTTTAATAAATCAAAACTAAAAAAATGTTAAGAGAACTTTGCTTAAGACTTAAAGTGAGGAAACAGGTTAGGATTTTAAACCATGTGGATCGAACACATGCGATCTGCTCCCTTAACCAGACTGCAGAGTGAACCCTGTATTCTTCTTCTTCTTCTTCTATTTATTTTTTTAATTTGCTATAGGGCATGTTAATTCTTCAGAGAGACACACACACAGAGAAAGTGAGAAAGCACCATCCACAGGAGTGTCCATTCCATAATCCCCTCTCCTTCATTCTCCTCTCAGGATTTTGGGCATGCGTGCACACTAGCCTGATGTGTTCTCAAGCCACTGGGTCTGGGACTGGAACTGCACAGCTGACCATGTGGGTTTCCTTCTCCAGCACAGCACTGGCTGGCCCAGGTCCTGTATTTTTAACATACAGAACAAATCTGTTGAGATCTTTTTCTAGGAAAAGGACACCTCATTTTTAAAAAATATTATATTTTTATTTAATATTTATAGCAATTGTATATGAATACCTTTGAAAAGTGTTCCCCCTCTCTCTCATTTTCTCTCTCTCTCCAACCTAATCTCTAAGGATGACTATAATGGCAAAGGTGGAATAAAGCTTGCTCTGATAATGATTATTGTGTGAGGGGTTGAAGTTATTTTTAATTTTCTTCCTTGAACTTTCAACAACTCTTACTTTTGTTGATCTTTTATATTGTCTTTCTAGTCTCTATTTTATTTATTCTGCTGTATGCTTTATCCTTTCCTCTCTTCTTCCAACATTGGCCTAATTTGTTCTTTTTCTAGATCCATGAGTTATAAAGTTAGGTTGTTTATTTGAGTGTTTTTTTTTTTTCTTAATTTAGACATTTATCACCATAAAATTTCTTCTTAGAACTGCTTTGTTCCATCCCATTAGCTTTGGTATGTCATTGCTGTTTCTTTCAGAAAGTTTTTGAATTACCTTTTGGCTTTTTTGACCCATTCGTTGTTCAAGTATATTGCTTAATTTCCACATACTTAGAAGATATTCAAAATTTCTTCTGCTTTTGATTTCTAGTTTCATACTGTTGTGGTTGGGAAAAAATGCTTGATATGATTTCAACGTTCTCCAAGTTGTGAAGACTCGTTTTGTGACCCAGCCTATGATCTTTCCTAGAGATCGTCCATGTGCACTTGGTAAGAATGTGTCTTCTACTGTTGGTGAGTGGAAGGTTCTGCAAATGTTAGCTTTGTTTGCTCTATAGTATATTCAGGTATGTGTTTCTTTGTTGATTTTCCGCCTGGCTAATTGATCCATTGTTGAAAGGGAGGTAGTAAAGTTCCCTAATATTGCTGTCTAATGTCTCCTTTTATTTCTGCTAATATTTGCTTTAAATATTTGGATGTTTCCATGGTGGGTACATATCTATTTATAATTGTTTTGCCCTCTTGATGAATTGAAAATTTTTTATTATATAACGATCTTCTTTACCTCTTGTGATAGAGTTTACTGATAGTCTGCTTTGTCTAGTATAAATCTAATAGTTATCTTTGCTTTCTTTTGGACACCACTTGCATGGACCATTTTTCACCATCCTGTTATTTTCAGCTTGTGTGTCCCTAAGGCTAGACTGAGTCTCCTGTAGACTCACTCATTTTGTTAATTGCTTTATGACTGTTTTATAACTTATTTCTTCCTCTCTTACTTTCTTTAATTTTTTTCAATAGTAATATACTTTGATTTCTTTATCTTTGTCTTTTATGTGCTTACTAAAGGTTTATTTTTTCTTAATGATTACCATGGGGCTTACGTAAAACATCTTATAATATTCTATTTTAACCTAACAATCACTTAACTTCAATTACATATAAAAACAGCAGTTGTATTTCTCCCATCCCTGATTTTATGACTTCAATGTCACCCTTCAAATCTTTTATACTGTGTATCCACTAATGAGTTATTGTAACTATATTTATTTTGGATACTTTTGTCTCTTAACTTTTATTCTAGATTTGAAAATGCTTTATACATCACTGATAGAGTACAAGGGTTTTCTGACTTAGACTATACATTTTTTCTTTATCAGTGAGTTTTGTACTTTGATATGTTTCCATGTTATCTGAGCATCCTTTCATTTGGCTCAAAGAACTCCTGTTAGTATTTCTTGTATGGCAGGGGATGTACTCCCTCAGCTTTTGTCTGTCTAGGAATGTCTTTGATCTCTTGTTTCTGAAGAATAACTTTTTCAAATACAGTATGCTTGCTTGGCAGTTTTATTTTCTTTTATTATTTTGAATATATGATCTCTCTCCTTTCTGAACTGCAAGGTTTTTATGGAGAAGGCAATGGATAGCCTTCTGGATTTCCTTTGCAGATGGTGAGTCTCTCTTCTCTTGTCGGTTTCAAGATTCCCTATGTGTCTTGGGACCAGCAGTTAGCATAATGGCTTTGTTGCTGAACTCCCATGTAGTCGACCGCGGTTCGAGTCTTGTTCTTGGTGGCTTAAACTCACGCCAGGTGCGTGTGTGTGTGCCCAATATCCCGAGAGGAGAATGGAGGAGAAGGGATTGTGGCATGGCCATCTTCCCTGGGGGGTGATTTCTTGCTTTCTGTCTCTCTGTCTTGTGAGCACACACGCCCTATAACAAAAACAAAACAAACAAACAAAAAACCTCTCCAAAAAAAAAAGATTCCCTCTGTGTCTTTGATCTCTGACAATTTGATTATAACGTATCTTGAGGTATCTTCTTTGCTTGGGATCCTTTAAATTTCATGCATATGTTCATCTCTCCCAAAATTTAGGAAGTCTTCAGCCATTATTTCTTTAAATAATCTTACTTTCCTTTCTCTCTCTCTCCTCTTTCTGAAATGCCTTTGATGCGTATACTCGTTTGCTCCATGATGTTATGCAGGCTCCTTACACTTTCTTCACTCTTTTTCATTCTTTTTATTTTCTGCTTCTCTAACTTCAAATGACCTCTCTTAAAGTTTGGCAGGGTTTTTATTATGCATAATTCAGTCGGCTGTTAAAGTTTTCTTTTCCTTTTTTTCCAGTTTTACTATTGTATGCTTTAGCTCCAGGATTTTTGTTTTATTTTTATTTTTTATTTTTTTTTAAATGTAGTTTTTGTTGTGTGTTTGCTTTTTTAAAGCCTCTTTTTAAAAAATAATTTTTAGTTTATATTCTTGTTCCATGAACGAGACAGAGATAGAGAGAAAGAGAGAGCCAGAGATACTTCCAATAGGGCTTTGATGTCATGACCCACCCCCAGCCAGCCGACCTCAGGCCATGGATGCGTGGGTGCCTGTGCACTGAGGCGAGGTCTCTGGCTTTAAACCCGGAACTGTCCCATTTGAGTCAGCACCACAGAACCTGACACTTTACTACTGTGCCGTCTTCTCTCCTCCATTGATTTGCAACAATTTTAGACTTGGCAAAAAACTACAATAATAGTATAGACATCCCCGATAACCTTCACTCAGCTTCCTTTTAATGTTAACATCCTATAAAACCACAGTGCGATGATCAAAATGGAGAGATGAATGCTGACACAATGTTGTTTACTGAACTACAGACTTTATTGGCATTGACTAGTTTCTCCATCTGTGATAGTTTGTCAGTTTTTCCTTGTCTTTTTTTTTTTTTTTAAGTTTTTGCTATAGACCATATGACCTCCCCAGAGAGACAGAGATAGATAGATAGACACAGATAGATAGATAGATGATAGAAAGAGTAAAATCACGTCCCAGTGGGGATGGCCACACCACAATCTCTTCTCCTCCATCTTTTGGGATTTGGGGCATGCACACACACATGTACCTGGTATGATCATCAAGTCACCAGGTGTGGGACTTGAACTGCAAAGTCAGCCATGTGGAATCCAGCTGCCTTAGCCTTATCCCATCTGCTGGCCCTCCTTGTCTGTCTTTTCTTTTTTTTTTTTCTTATTTTTTAAAAATCTTTTATTGGGTACATTTGAGGTTTACAAAATGTTGAGATAAATTCAGCTACAAACAGATTAACATATTTTTTTTTCATTTGTGTGGTAAAAGAAGCTAAAATCTATTACACAAAACTTACCTATTTCTTAATCTATTTTTTCATTTTTTAAATGATTTTTCCCTGTTCCTCTCTTCCCCTATTACCCACACCCCTAGTATCCAACACCCTGTACTATCTCTAGTATCTACATCTACCCTCCCTGCTACGATACCTTCCAATCTTTCAGTTTCTGTTCTTTCCTAAGGTAAAAATATCAATTTTTTTGTTTCAATAGATCTTTTTGGATCAGTCCCTGGCCTAGTGGTTAAGGCAGCTGAATCTTAATTAACATGGAAAAGTTTGAAGAATACTGGTCACTTATTTTGTAGAATGTCCTTTTATTTGGGCCTGTCTGTTTTTTTTTATGACTTGATTAAAATTCTGAAATTTTGGCCAGAATACCCCAGAAGTGATGGGCTCTTTTCAGTACCACAAAGTCATGGAGTACATGGCTTGTTCATATGTCTTTTCACTTCTGGGGTTAACATTACTTGGTTGTAGTAGAATGGGCTCAGTATCTACACTGTGAAATTACTTTTCCTTTTTTGGTAATTAATGACTATCTCAAGAAAGATACTTTGTGACTATCCACATATACTATTTGTTCTCAAACTTTTGTCTCAACATCTTTGTTTAAGAGTTTTTTGCTATAAGGCACGTGTACTCACCAGAGACACAGAAAACAAGAAGTTATCCCCCCAAGGGAGATGGCCACACTGGAATATCTTCTCCATTCTCCTCTTAGAATTTTGGGCATGCATGCACATGGGCCTGGTATGACTTTTAGGCCACTGGATCCAGGACTTGAACCATGGTTGACTACGTGGGAGTCCAGCAACACAACCATTACACCATCTGCTGGTCCCTCAGTATCCTTTTAAACCATAGCATTTAAAATTTGTTGAAAGTAAGGGACCAGCAGATGGCGTAATGATTGTGTTGCTGGGCTCCTACGTAGTCAACCATGTTCAAGTCTTGGACCTGGTGACTTAAAACTCATGCTGAATGTGTGTGCGTGTTTGCCCAAAATTCAGAGAAGAGAACAGAGGAGAAGGGATTACAGCATCGCCATCCCCCTGAGGGGTGATTTCTCGCTTTCTGTCTCTCTGGTGAGTGCAAATGCCTGTAACAAAAATCTCTCTCTAGAAAAGGAAAGAAAAGAAAAGAAAAGAAAAAAAAAATTACTGAAGGCAAACATAAAGCTACAAGAATTTAAAGTTACATTATGGATTCAATGGCTATTAGGAAAGAGAGAGACAGAGACAGACAGATGTGCTTCTGGAGATTTCTTCAAATCATGCTAATGCTTCTGTTTTAAGTCAACTTGTGGGAGATGATGCTAATATCTGATGGCTATGTTACACCTATGTTAATTAAGTGTCTAGCAGTAAATTGCTAATTTTTAACAATTTAATGATGGCCTTGCATGGTACACATAACATAAGGTTTAGAGCAATCTGTTTACAAATACTAATAAAGAGGGAACCAGCAGTTAGCATAATGGCTGTGTCACTGGACTCCCACGTAGTCGACCGCGGTTCGCGTCCCAGACCCTGTGACTTAAAACTCACACCGGGCGCGTCTGCGTGCATGCCCAAGATCCTGAGAGGAGAATGGAGGAGAAGGGATTGCGGCGTGACCATCCTCCCTGGGGGGTGATTTCTTGCTTTCTGTCTCTATGTCTCTCTGTCTGTCTGGTGAGCACACACACCCTATAGCGAAAACCTCTCAAAAAAAAAAGTAAATAAAAAAAATACTAATAAAGAGAATTTTTCTATTTCATTTATTCATTTTTTTGACAATCAAATCAAAGATATTGCTGTATATATTATTTTCAACAGAGAATTTTACATTCTTGGGTCTTAAATATTTCTTCCCTTTGCCTCTCCCACCCTCCCTCTACCATCCACTCCCCTCCCTTACCGACTCTAATATGTATACTTTTCCTCTCTACTATGAGATCTTCAGATCTTTCCATTTCTGCCTAGATTGTAGACAGTACATATTGAGTAGGGATATACAGTGTCTTTCTAAGTTTGGCTTACTCAGTTTAGCAATAATCTTCCATATTCAACCACTTGAATCAAATGACTGTGTCTCATTGTTTCTATTTCTTTATTAAATGTCTCATTTTGTTCATGCATTGTTTTCCTG